AGAGAAAGACATGCTGTGAATATCAACTAAGGGTTTACGTAACTCTGATCTTTCCCTGCTTCTACACTTTCTGCTCGCCTCCTTTTCCTCCTCACTCTTCTCCTTCATTATCTCCTCCTCTGCTTTTCTTTTTCTTTTCTCCACCTCACAGTGCAATTTAAATCCAGACTCTATCAGCAGCCGTGGGACCATCATGCTCTCTGTTAAGTTCATACCGAGTGGATCAGAGGGTGAGCAGGACATGTGTGTTGTGACATGTGAAGGTACATTAAGATCTGTGTTAGTATGATGATCATCTAATGAGACATATTCTCTGTGTCTATGTGTGTGTGTGTGTGTTAAGGCTGTGGTTTGCCACTCACTGGAGAGCTTTACATCTGGCTCCGAGAAGCTCAGGGTCTCCTCTCCAATAAAGGAGGTGCCATAGACTCATTTGTTAGAAGGTGTGTCTAACAAATAATACATATCAATCTATTAATTATTAGTAGAAACAATTTGGACATTATCAGTTTTACAATAGCATATTTTTTTATTGTTGAGTATTTAAATGTTTGATTTGAACATACCTGGGCAAACTATGGCCGTGGGCCAGATACAGCCCACTGGGCTTTCTAGTCCATCCCACCAAACACTGGTACAAAGTATGGTAAAGGCTGGTGTCAATTCTTTTGTATTGTATAAAATGTGCCAAATTAAGATTATTCTTGTACATTTTTATTTAAATATTTCACACTGCATTCAACATCCAATCAAAACTGAATCGGTCCACCAGTCAAATTGTTGTTGAATTTTAAACTCTTTTAAACAGCAGCAGCCATCTTTTGGGTAGACCTAGGTCTATTTTCTGCACACACAACAAATAATGTTTTTTTTGTATGACTGTCACTTGGATAATTATACATTTACTGTAAACCTGCACTTATTATTTTTGTGACTCTATAAGCTACATACTGCCAGATGCCAGTAGACAAAGTGGCCAGAAGACACGGGTGGTGAAGCGCTCCATCAGCCCTAACTACAACCACACCATGGTGTATGATGGCTTCCACACCAGTGACCTGAGGGAGGCCTGTGCTGAGCTGACAGTGTGGCAACGTGAAGGGTTAAAGAGACACGTGTTGGGTGGGATTCGTCTGAGCTGTGGCACTGGTAAGACAGTGTTCTATTATTTTTATAACAATGTTTTAACATGGTTGGTGGGAAGAAAAGATGGCTTCATATACAAATATGTATGAGCCAACAAGAAGGTCACAGGTTTGAGCCACAGCTTGAACTTTAGCAGTGGACATTCTTATATTGAGACTGTATCGCCACAGTTCTACCATACAGTAAGTATACAGTGGGTACGGAAAGTATTCAGACCCCTTTAAATTTGTCACTCTTTGTTTCATTGCAGCCATTTGCTAAAATCAAAAAAGTTCATTTTATTTCTCATTAATGTTCACTCAGCACCGCATATCTCTGTACTTGGCCACATTCATCTTTCCTTCAATTGCAACCAGTCGTCCTGTCCCTGCAGCTGAAAAACACCCTCATAGCATGATGCTGCCACCACCATGTTTCACTGTTGGGATTGTATTGGACAGGTGATGAGCAGTGCCTGGTTTTCTCAACACATACCGCTTAGAATTAAGGCCAAAAAGTTCTAATTTGGGCTCATCAGATCAGAGAATTTTATTTGTCCCCATCTTGGAGTCCTTCATGTGTTGTTTTAGCAAACTCCATGCGGGCTGTCATGTGTCTTACATCGAGGAGAGACTTCCGCCGACTTGACGTCCCTCTGTCATAAAGCCCCGACTGGTGGAGGGCTGCAGTGATGGTTGACTTCCTACAACTTTCTCCCATCTCCCGACTGCATCTCTGGAGCTCAGCCACCGTGATCTTTGGGTTCTTCTTTACCTCTCTCACCAAGGCTCTTCTCCCACGATTGCTCAGCTTGGCTGGACGGCCAGGTCTAGGAAGAGTTCTGGTCGTCCCAAACGTCTTCCATTTAAGGATTATGGAGGCCACTGTGATCTTAGGAACCTTAGGTGCAGCAGATATTTTTTTGTAACCTTGGCCAGATCTGTGTCCTGCCACAATTCTGTCTTTCAGCTCTTCAGGCAGTTCCATTGACCTCATTTGCTCTGACATGCACAGTGAGCTGTAAGGTCTTATATAGACATATAGATATATGGTTTTCCTAATCAAATCCAATCAGTTTGATCAAACACAA